TGTTCCCCACTAGGGACACTAAGTAGAAGAAGCAGAAGGTAGCAAAAAAAGGATGTGGCACAGCTTTTCAGAGCCAGGGAAAACAACAAGATAAAACCCAGTGGCACTAGTGTAATTCCCCAACATTTAGCTCTGAGTCCTTGTTCCTTGTGAAATCTAGAATGAGAGAGAGAGAGAGAGAGAGAGAGAGAGAGAGAGAGAGAGAGAATGCTTCTCACCTTGGAAATGTTGAAGACATTACCAGTTTCAAGAAACATTTCCCCTGCATCCTTTAACTCCACAACATGGCTATTATTTCTATCTGAAATTGCTGTTAATGAATGGATAACCTATGTATGAATTCATATATGTAGACATATGTAATTATATAATAGAAGCGTGCAAATTCGAATGGATGAGTGCTGATCATCAGTAGCACACCATACACACCATAGACAGGGAAACTTACCCAGTATAACGTGCACCTTTGTCTCTGAGGGGGCTAGAAATCCTCCTACATTCTGCTGTGATGAGCCATCACACTGCTTCCCTCACAGTCTGCTCATGTATAACCCCTCCTCTCTGGCAGTTGTGTCCCCATCTTACAAAGTCCTGCTGCACTTCAATGATTCTAAGTATCCCCTGCCAATCCCACAGAGATGGGGATCCTTCTATCCTTAACGTCCGCCAAACACAGGCTCCATTTCCATTGTGTTCACTTGAAAGTTTTCACCTTTCAGTTATAGAGTGTGGTAGGGAAGCAGAATCTACACAGGATACTGTCGGAAGACAGGGCCTCTCCTGGAATCAAGCATTGTATCTTCCCCTGACTCTAGGCTTGCTTCCTGGAATAGTTCACCGCCTCTTCCACATTCTGATTTTCTGTTTGTTTGTTTGTTTGTTTGTTTCGGTATGATGAAAGGTATTCTCACCTCTTACCTCAGTGAAGAGTCCAGAAGGAGCAACAGAGCTCAAATTTTAATCTTCAGTTTCTGTCTGTCCTGCCAAGTGTCCTCCTGGGTCCAGAACACAACTGTGGAGTGAAGACAGCATGTGCTACGTCCCTTGGGTCTCAAGCTCTACTTTCCATGGGAGACAGGACCTCTGTGGGAGGCATGACCACTGTGCTCCTACATCCAACATGTCACGGTCTCGGTCTCACCAAGGAAATGCCACATTGACTCTTCTGTGGCACCCATTTTCTCCACAGTCCTGCGAGAAAGGGAAAGAATGAGAAAACACCAACGGGTCAGCGTGAGTTCCTCCCCTCACCTCCTCTGGGTCTCTGCACAGACGTCTCCTCCTCCCAGACTTTCATTTAGAGAGACCTCTTGCTCTCTGCCCTCCGCAGGACCGTACTTTTCTTACCATTGCTCTCACTGGTATCTCAAGTCATACTTTTGTTTGCTCAGTAATGTAGCCTCAAAACCCCACATTTAACTAAGATTTCCACAGCCCATCCTTCATTTTCTCTTTGTTGTACTGCCAGAGTCCCCCCACTGGAAAAAGTTTGATGACATATGTACTCAGTGATTTTTTTTTAAAAAAAATGATTTTGCCAATGAATAGAGGTGGGCGAATGGGGACTAAGCAGAGTACAGAGTGAATTGTGGATCTGCCAGTCCTAGAGAGCTACAGAATGACAAGCAGATAGAAGGATGGGGAGAAGAGAGAGGCAAACCAAGGAGAGCTTTGTGCCAGCCCTGCACAGAGCCCGGTAGATGTGCTCTCTGCTAAGGAGGACGCTGTGACTCCTGGCTCACCCAGTCTCTTTTCCATATGTCTATGTCCTTAGAAGATGAGGAGTCGAGCATTTTCATGATGGTGCTTTACCGTTCTGTAGTTTACAGGCAGAAGCGCCTGGAAGATGCCTCTAGACAAGGGGGAACTCAACCAGGAAGTTCATTGCCTCTCCAGGGTTCACCCAGAATGGCAAGCTCCGGGCTAGTCCAAACCTAGGGCCAAGAGGCAGAGCCAGCAACTGTTTTCCCCATTCACAGTGAAGAATGCTGTGCACACAGAGAAGCTTGGGAAACGTCCAGAAATCATAGTAGTGAGGAAAGTTCATTTGTCTTCTTTTCTGATATTCTCTCCTTCCTCCTTTCTCTCCTGCCCCCAGAAATAGTTCGCTATCCACTAAGGAACAATTTCTAAAAGTTCAAAGCTTCTCTAGGGATGGTGGCAAAGAAAAGCTGAACAGAACCTCTCTCCTTCTCTCTTGAGGCTAATCAACTTTCAGAACACTGAGAAGTTGGTTACCCTCCAAGAGTGTCTTTCCTCTGGGGAGACCCTTCCCAAGGAACAGCGAGACCACTTGTACGGATGCAAACAGCAAGAGGTTTATTCAGATACACAGGTACCTGGGGCGACAAAGTCTCTCGGAGGACTTGTGCACCTCCAGGTCGGGGTAATGGGTTTATATATGTTTTGGGGAGCAAAAAGCGCGGTACAGAAGCAAGAAGCGTAGTTACAGGGTTTTCATTGGTCAATTTGAATGTGGCCGAGTTCAGGTTGGGACAAGGTCTCTAGTTCCCGAGAATTCAGATATGGGTTGCCTTGGCTCTTATCTAGGGCAGACTTCACCGTTCCTCCCCGCCTGGGACAGACAGCGCCTAGCCACATTCTTGGTATTCCTGTTCCTCCCCCCGGCCCAGCCACAGGTGTCTCTAGCTCGTTCTGGCAGCTTCTAAACTGCCCTTTGTTCAAACCCTGAATATTCAGTACAAGCCTTGTAAAATGGCGTTACCGGTGCTAAGTTGTTTAACAAGCTGGGCGGGGGGGGGGGGGGGTCTTTCAGTTAGTCAGCAAACTTGAAGCTTCTCTCATCAGGAAGTTCTCAATCCCCAGGTCACCTTCTCTCAGATTTGAAGTTATGAACAAACAACCCAGACTGTGAAGGACAGGTCTGCACCTATCCTTGATGCACTTTAGCTCAAGAAAACCTAAGGTACTGTTGTGCTCTTTCTACTGGCCCCAATGTGGATATCAAAACTCGAAGTCAGAAAATAAAGGGCCAAGAATCGTCTCTGTGTCTCCAAGATTTTTATGAACTCTCTTTCTCAATTGATCTCTGGACCCCTCCTATCAGATCTAGTCTGTCTAAAATTGTGTGAATTATGGTAAGAGAAAACAGAGAGGAACTGCCCCTTATTTTAGCATCTTCATCTGCTAATGCTGAGTCTCTCCAACATGCACACTTTCCAGGGGCGGCCGCTTAGCTCAGCCATGCATTTTGGTGAGTATTCACACGCTATGCTTCTTTGCCTTGTCTAAATTGAGGAGTGAAACATAAAGAATATATATATATATGCAAAGAATATATATATATATATATATGCAAAGTTACATTTAAAATACTTATTTTGGGGCGAGGAGTAGGTTCACAGGGAAAGTGCTTGCTGTGCAGGCATGAGGACCTGAACCCAGATCCTTAGCACCCACATAAAAGGGTGTGATTTGTAGTGTGAGCCTCTCATCCCAGAAACAGAGGACCCCAGGGGTTTGCAGGCCAGCCAGTCTAGCTAATCAGTGGGATACAGGTGTAATGAAAGGGTCTGTCTCAATAAATAAGGAGACCAATAAAGAAGGCACTTAGTGCTCACCTCTGCCCTATACATGCACAGACACAGATGAGCACACCCACACCACATATGTACATACGTGCATATATCATACACATATACATGCACACACCACTATAATATAATAATAAATGAAGTAATAAGAGTGGCGGGGCTGCGTTCCCAGCACCCCGGCCGCCTGCTCGGCTAGCTTATGCCCCGAAATAACAACACACAAACTGTATTCTTTTAATCACTGCTTGGCCCATTCTCTTCTAGGCTAATTCTCACATATTAATTTAGCCCATTTCTAATCATCTGTGTGTAGCACCCCAAGGAGCGCTTACCGGGGAGAGTCTAGCCTAGTCCATCCTGGGTCGGAGCTTCATCCCGGGAGCGGGGCATGGCGTCTCTCTCAGGCTTCTGCTCCAGAGAAGAGAGCTGTCGAGAGACTGACCTCACTTCCTCTTCCTCCCAGCGTTCTGTTCTGTCTACTCCTCCCACCTATCCTCTAACCAATAAAATGGGCCAGGGCAGTTCCTTTATTAGCCAATGACCTTCCTCCATCAAATAAATAATCTATTTGTTTTTAAATTTTGTGAAACTTGCTTTTCAGGTAACTAGTACAGATTATAGTTTTAAAACAAAATTTTATTGATCTTGAAAAGATCTTCAGGCAACGTAGCCATTGAGTTCTTGAGTACAGTGATCTTATCATGTCCAAAAGACATTGTTTCAGCCTGGTTCTCCCTTGCCTCTGACTCTTATAATATTTCTCTGGTTCTGCAATGATCCTTGAGCCTCATAGAGGAGATAATGTGATATAGATGGCCCATCTGTGGCTGAGCACTCAACAGACACTTCTTTTCTCCACTTTGACAGTTGTGAGTTTCTTTGTCAACTGCCATCCACTTCACAAAGAAACATCTCTAATGAGGTCTCAGATGTGCATGAATCTATGGGTTTAGAGATACAAATTTAGAGGATTGTATGAGACTCAGCTGCTGCTGATGGCTGAGTGATGAAACAGTGACCAGATGTAACAAAGATGGGAGGGGCTGAGGGAAGCATTAAGTCACCATTTGAGGGTTCAGAGCAAATCATTCGGGACATGCTCTCCCCGAGGAAAGGTAGAGAATCCTGTTCCTCACAGCTCTGTCCTCGGAACCTCTGTAAGAAAGATAAGTGTTGAGCCTGAAGCTCCTCTTAACAGACAGTTGAACTAACTATAGTCTGAGGAGCTTTTAGAAGAGTAGCACAGAGGGAGACATGGACTCAGAAGTCCATTAAACATTTCCTGAAAAGTCCTAATAGAAGAATTGTCTCCTGATTCTTCGGTGTAAGTGCCCCTACCTAGCCATATCTGCTGGGTCTGGTAGACATCCCCGAGGAGACAAGTGGGCAGGGAATTCCAGTCTCTGCTGATCTTTTTACGCCTCACGAGGAAAGAGCTGAACCATCATGAAACTTGCTTTTTATTTGGCCATCCTAGCTGGTACGTATTTAAGACTTTCTACTCTGCCCATTAGACTCTGAGCTAATGTCAAATGTGGTGAGGCAACGGGAATGGGTGACTGACACACGGGCATCAAGAAATACTCTGAGTAGTTAGCGCAGTCTCTCCCAAGTGTTAAGCTTTTGGATAGGTTATGGGACATACCTGCCCTGGGGAGTCCTCAACAGTGAGTGCTCCTCTGGGTTATTGTAAACGATGGGCCTCATTACCCTCTGGAAAAGGTACGATCACAGGAACAGAGAATCCTGTTTGACTTGTGATCTCTTCTCTTCCCCATAACTTTTGAGTGCAGAGAATGGTAAAGGCAGGAACAAAAGGCTTGGTACATGGTCCCTCCTTCTGCAGTCACTGCTTTCATAAACGTGGAAGAATTTCCCACCACTCCCTAATTACCATGACCATGTCACATACTGGCTGGGTTGAGGCTGGGCAAGCTAATTAATCCAGCACCTAATATAGAGCTCAAAATCTCTTGCCCTTATTAATAACCTATCCACTTCGCTTTGAAGTTTGGAAGTGTAGTCACACGGAGGTGTGATGAGGTATAGGCCCAGATGTGGGAGGGTCAGCAGATGTACCAGTAAGAGCCAAGAAAAAAGCACCAGAGTCAGCCTTCCTCTCTTTTATACTCCACTGCTAATTTTTACAATATTTTATTAAAAACCATGTGTTTGTGTTATAAAATTTGGAAATCTTACAAGTAGGAAAAATAATCACACTTCTCAGTCAACTATACTGAATTTTCTTCGAGTTATTTTCTGCATTTAATTTGCTTCTTTTTGTTTTGTTTTTAGACAACTGAAATTGTATGTGTACCACTGAATAGAATTGTAGCATAAGTACATATAGTTTTCAATTCAAATGTCACTACTAACATTTTTGATGTGTTCTACTTGCTTAAATGTTTCTTTTTCTCAATATTGAGCAAGACATATTAGATATTTATCCTTCCAATGTTCAACTATTATAAGTATTGCTAAAGATAAGTACTCTTATTAAGTATCTTTGCCTACATCTGATTGTCTTTAAAGTGAATTCCTATTGTTGGAATTCTCAAGTCACAAGTTATGAACAAGTTACAATTCTTAATCCTTATTTCTAAATTGCTTTCCCAGAAAATAATATGAATTTATAAGTAATAAATTTATTTCTTATTATGTCCTTTAGTAGAAAAAACATTACCAATATTATCATCACTATGTCTTACATTAAGTATGTCACTTTAATTTACATCTTTATTAGAAAAATACTGTCCAGCTAACTGACTACTTCTTTAAAATTATGCACATCCCTTTTCTGCTGGGAAGATGTGAAAGTCTCATTTACTCTGATGCTTACGTGTTATTGCCTTCTCAGGGACAGTTTTCTTCACTCACTCAACTGTGCAGAAAGAGGACTATGCTCCTTATATAGCCTACCTCAAGTCTAACTTCAACCCCTGTGTGGGTGTCCTCATCAAGGCCAGCTGGGTACTGGCTCCATCTCACTGCTATTTACCGTGAGTACTGAGCATCTCTTCCCCCAAATGATTTCTACCCATCCTAGATCAGTGAGTCTCAAGTAGGGACAACTTTCCCCTAGGATATAGAAAAGTCTGAAGTTTTGGGTTTTCTGACTTTTCTGAAGTCTTGGGTTTTCACAATCAGGAAACAGGGCTACTAGCATGTAGTGGGACTTGCTCTAGCAGGATCCTGCTGGAGTTCCTGTAGAACACACGTCACCACCACGTAGACTCTGTGTTGCTGTTTAAAGGCTTGTCTTCGTTCTGTAGTTTCTCCCCACCCACCCCGGTGCCCCATTAGTATTTCTTACTGGAAGTAATTACATTTAATCAATTAGGGGTTCAGCAGGTAACTCAAATTTTTTAACTGAGTAAATTGAGAAGAGAATTTTTTTTAAGTAAAAAAAAAAGGAACTCATTGTAAAGAGATGGTTCATGTCCCACAGAAGAAGTATTAAGGAAATACAGTGACCATCCTTTTGCCTAAAAGGAAAGAATGGTTTCATCGGAATAACAGGAGTCCCTGCAGGAAGATGCTATCTGATAGAAACAGTAACCTTTGCCAAGACATAAAAAGTCTGTGCCATTGCCCCTGGGGAGGATCTGGGAAGACAAACACTTCAACAACACCCTTTCCCCTCCACTTTCCCACATTTCCTATAGACCAGAAGCCAGAGAAGAAAGCTCATTGATTTAAGACACATCACCTTCCAAATCTTCAAAAGGGGGGGGGGGGAGAAGATTGTTGGTGAGCTTGCTACCCAACATTCTGTCATTTCATTCTCCTGTGTCCACTAAGGTGGAAATTACTCAATTGGATAAATGAGGCCTGAAGCAGATTCAATACAAACTTTTATATCCATTATTTTTCCTTTCCAAGGCACTATATTAACAAAAAAAAAACAGTACTTAAGGACTCCACTGTTTACTCTGACCACACATAAATTGATACCATGTGTGCCCAGAACTTCATTTATAAAATGGGAATTAACTTACCGTGAGTAAAAGGTAGCCCAGATACAGCACTTGTCATGGTATCTTGCACACAGTAACATCTCATACCCATAATTACAATGATGGTGAGTGATGACGGTATGATCAAGATGGTAGTGGTAGTGATAGTAACGGTGGTTCCTTCCAACCCCTTCTTCCTCCAGAAATCTGAGGGTGATGTTGGGAAATTTCAAGAGCAGAGTCAGAGATGGGACAGAGCAGACAATTCACCCCATCCAGATCGTCCGCTACTGGAACTTCAGCCACACTGCCCCGCAGGATGACCTCATGCTTATTAGACTAGCTAAGCCTGCCACCTTCAACCACAAAGTCCAGGTCCTTCCCATCGCCACCACCAATGTCCGGCCGGGCACTGTCTGTACACTTTCAGGCTTGGACTGGAGTCAAGAAAACATTGGTAAGTGCACCTTCAGCGGCACGTAAAGCCTTTGGTTTCACTTATGGAACATACATGTCCTCAGAGCCATGAGATAAAATGGAGTAGAAAATGGATCGGAGCCAATGGTGACGCTATAGGAGTGGTCCAGAAAAAAAAAAAAAACCTGTCTAGAAGCCCAATACTTCTCTATTGTCGGGGTTTCAACAGAACCTTCATTGCCTCTGCGGGACTTTCCCGTGGGCCAACTGACGGCACAGAGACCTTATTGTCACAGGCACGATTACATTAAGGACTAAGGACACAGTGGTTCTAGTTCCCCGTGTTCATTTCACACGTAAAAAACATCGTGAAGAACCTGAACCAGATCACTTGTACATACAGACTAGAAAGAACCCCGTCAGCTGTCCACAGCATAAAGGACGATTTCCCATTGGCAGAATGCTTTTCTGTGGACCATTTCATCTGTAAAGTGAGGCTAATCGGCAGGGCTAACTCTCATGAAAGCACAACTTTGTTCCTTTTGCTCCTTCCTTCTTCTCTTTAGGCATACTCAAAATAATACCCGCTGAGGTACAGGAGGTGAGGATGAGGGACAGGTAACTCATGAACTGAGCCGGGTGTTCTTTCTCCCTCAGGCAGGCACCCTGACTTAAGGCAGAATCTTGAGGCTCCGGTGATGACTGACAAAGACTGCCAGAAAACACAACAAGGAAGCAGCCACAGAAACTCCTTATGTGTGAAATTCGTGAAAGTATTCAGCCGAATTTTTGGGGTAATCTTTTTGTCTAAGTTTAGATTTTATTTACTTGCAAGTGTCCAGTTGACTATTTCACCACAATACGTCTTAATTACCAAATAATTTGTGAGAATTTGGTAACGTTATTGCAATGATACCTGCATTTTCCCAGCACAGTCTGCCTACAAAGGATATTTATTTACTAAAGAGCATCATGTATCCCTGGTTAATAACATATTGATAGTGTTAATTATCGTAGAGACTAAGAAAAAGCTATGAAAACAAGCATTGTCTTAAATTTAATTTTTTTCTCTCTCCCTCCCTCCCCTCTCACTCTGGCAGGAGGTGGCTGTAGCTACTGTCATTTGTAAAGGCAAGCTCCAAGGAATTGAAGTTGGACACTTCATGGGAGGGGACGTCGGCATCTACACCAATCTTTACACATATATACCATGGATTGAGAAGACCATCAAGGAAAAGTTGAAATGATGCCCTGCTTTTCCCCTCTGCATCCCATTGTCTCTGCCATTGACTAAAGGAATTCACACATTCTCTAAACTCAAATAAACTCTCCAGGCGGAAAGTCTGGGATGCAGCACACTGGGAGCGCGTGTCTTTATGTCCACACCACATCACGATGGGAAGAAGGAATCTGTCATTACCTTATTCTTGGTTCTGGTCTCTATCATTTGTAAACTGTAAAAACCTTTGAAGTTGTCTTTTATCTCCCTTTAAAAATCAAATGTTGAGGCTAAAGTATTAACTGGTAGATACCAAAGCTTGGAATGGAATTGGATGTGAAGCATCAGACTCTAAATCCTGTGCTTTGAGTGTGAATATATGACACAACCTATTGCAGGATTTGGGGGTGATTCATAAAAAAAGGGGTGACCCAGTAGGAAAACTCAGGACAGTGCCGTAAACTCACAAAAAAGAGAAAGTATGCCTGAGGGAAGTTTCAAGACAGGCTTGCAATCTTTAAGTTTTGGCAGCGAAGCACAGAAGGCAAATAAATAGAGGGAGCTGGAAATGTATGCTTTCTAGGGGAGAAGAAGTCAGAGATGGGTTGGTTCAAGCAGGGCCTATGAGCACCTACCCAAGGTATATATATTTAGGGTTTATAAATATACTACTCATTAAAAAAGCAGTCATTCTATCCCTTCTTTACCATGTCTTCAGGAGTGCCACTTTTCTTCCCACCATTTGGCTTACACTGGTCTTCAGCAGGTAAAGCAGGACCTTTTCATCAGTGGAAGAGGGATTTCATAGCAAAGGAGATTCCCTGTTCTGTCCAGGTGCAGGAATCATATACTGTCTATATCAAAGGGTGATATAGATAGACCAACCTATATCATATATCATATAGCTATATGATAGGCCAACCCTGCCATTTGAAGCAGAGAATGTTATCCACAAAAAAAAAAGCCAGATTCTTTCATACTGATATTGACATGTGCCAGAGGGCAGCAGGGAAGCAAATAGCTATAGAACAGAAGCCCTTTGCCCTCTCCCTACCTTCTTGACTACCATGGCCCCTGAGCATCTCATCAGATGCTGGCTCCTGCTTTGTGGCTAAGGTCTCAAGTACCGCTAAGACCTGCTCATCTCACGGCTGCATGAATACCAGCATGCTACAGAAGAAGAACCCAGGGGAAGAGAGAGAAGGAAACAGTGAAGCTCTAGGCCAGTGTCAACAACTGTGAGAAATCCTGACCATTCAAAAGCCCCAAGTGTTTTCAACTACTGAGATGATCATGAGGACATTTGCCTTATGTTCGATTAATATGGCATACTAACTTCAAAGACTTTCCAATGGAAATAGCTTTTTATCACCAGAAAAACTTTCGCTATGTGTGGTACCTGGTCCTTATACATGTTGCTGAATTCAGTTTTCTAGTATTCTGTTGACTTTTTCTCTCTGTATTTATGTGCATTGTTGATATGTAGTTTAGTTTTGTTTTGTAATGTCTTTGTCTGATTTTTTTTCATAAGAGTGAAATTGACCTCATTGCATGAATGGAAAAGTTTTCCTTCCCTTTTTACTTCTTAAGTGGATTTTAGAAATCTTAGCAATATTTGGCAGACTCACCAAGAAACCCAATTAATCTTATACTTTTCGTTGAGGAAATTTATTATTATATTATACTATTCAACAGATCTTGTCATACTTCCTATTTCTCTTGGTTTTAGTCTTGTTTTATTTTTATCTGTGTTGCTGGGATAATATTAGTTATGTTAATCTTTTATTATAATACTGGAACCACCTGAAATAATTACTTTGAATAAGAAAAGATTTATTTTTGGAGGTTTCAATCCATGGTCAGTGAGTTCACTGTTGTGAGCTGAGGGTAAAACTGAAACATCATGGCGGAAAGGTACAGTGGAGGGAAGCTGCTTACCTTGTGAGCAGTGGCAGAAAAGTGAGTGAGGGCCTGGGCCAAGATATAATCAACAAGAACACATCATCACTAATGTACTTCAACTAAACCCCACCTCCAAAAGTTACCAGAAGGCTTCCAATAAAGCTGTCAAATTATAACTCCAACATGGATAAACGCAGAGTCCTCGTGTCCCAGGCACTATCTAAACACCTCACCCCTCACATTGCACTTAGGAACATGTCTTTAATACATCAACCTTGTTAGAACAGAGACAGGAGGGAGGGGCTCCATATCCAATGCTCTCCACAACCTCTCCAGCAAAGGCTATCATTGGTGTTTTTGATTTTAGCCATTCTAACAGGTGTAAGATGATATCTTAAAGTTGTCTTGATTTGCATTTCCCTGATCGCTAAGGAAGTTGGGCATGACCTTAAGTGTCTTTGGCCATTTGAACTTCTTCTGTTGAGAATTTTCTGTTCAGCTCAGTGCCCCATTTTATAATTAGGTTGATTAGTTTTTTACATTCTAGTCTATTGAGTTCTTTATATATTTTGGAAATCAGACTTTTGTCAGTTGCGGGGTTGGTGAAGATCTTCTCCCAGTCAGTAGGTTGCCTTTTTGTCTTAGTGACAGTGTCCTTTGCTTTACAGAAGCTTCTCAGTCTCAGGAAGTCCCATTTATTCAATGTTGCCCTTAATATCTGTGCTGCGGGGGTTATACGTAGGAAGTGGTCTCCTGTGCCCATGTGTTGTAGAGTACTTCCCACTTTCTCTTCTATCAGGTTCAGTGTGTTTGGACTGAAATTGAGGTCTTTAATCCATTTGGACTTGAGTTTTGTGCATGGTGATAGATATGGACCTATTTTCATTTTTCTACAGATTGACATCCAGTTATGCCAGCACAATTTGTTGAAGATGCTCTCTTTTTTCCAATGTATATTTTTAGCTCCTTTATCGAAAATCAGGTGTTCATAGGTTTGTGGGTTAAAGTCCGGGTCTTCTATTTGATTCCATTGGTCGACTTCTCTGTTTTTATGCCAATACCTACCTGTTTTAGTACTGTAGCTCTGTAATAGAGTTTGAAGTCAGGGATGGTAATGCCTCCAGACAATCCTTTATTGTATAAGATTGTTTTGGCTATCCTGGGTTTTTTGTTTTTCCATATAAAGTTGATTATTGTCTTCTCCAGATCTGTGAAGAATTTTGATGGGATTTTGATGGGGATTGCATTGAATCTATAGATTGCTTTTGGTAGAATTGTCATTTTTACTATGTTGATCCTCCCAATCCAAGAGCAAGGGAGATCCTTCCATTTTCTGGTGTCCTCTTCAATTTCTTTCTTCAAAGACTTAAAGTTCTTGTCAAATAGATCTTTCACTTCCTTGGTCAGAGTTACCCCAAGATATTTCATGCTATTTGTGGCTATCGTGAAAGGTGATGCTTCTCTGATTTCCCTCTCTGCTTCCTTGTCCTTAGTGTAAAGGAAGGCAACTGATTTTTTGGAGTTGATCTTGTATCCTGCCACATTACTAAAGGTGTTTATCAGCTGTAGGAGTTCTTTGGTAGAATTTTTGGGGTCACTTATGTATACTATCATATCATCCGCAAATAACGAGAACTTAACTTCTTCCTTTCCAATACAAATCCCCTTGATCCCCTTATGTTGTCTTATTGCTATTGATAGATCTTTCAGCACTATATTAAAGAGGTATGGAGAGAGTGGACATGCTTGTCGTGTTCCTGATTTTAGTGGGATGGCTTTAATTTTTTTCTGTTTAATTTAATGTTAGCTGTTGGCTTGCAGTAATAGCTTTTATTATATTGAGGTATGCCCCTTTTATCCCTAATCTCTCCAAGACCTTTATCATAAAGGGGTGTTGAATTTTGTCGAATGCTTTTTCAGCATCTAGTGAAATGATCATATGATTTTTTTCTTTCAGTTTATTAATATGGTGGATTACATTGATAGATTTGCATATGTTGAACCAGCCCTGCCTCTCTGGGATGAAGCCTACTTGATCATAATGGATAATTTTTCTAATGTGTTCTTGGATTCGGTTTGCCAGTATTTTATTGCGAATTTTTGCATCGAGGTTCATAAGTGAAATAGGCCTGTAATTCTCTTTCTTAGTTGGATCTCTGTGTGGTTTTGGTATCAGGGTAACTGTAGCTTCATAGAAGGAATTTGGCAATGACTTTTCTGTTTCTATATTGTGAAATACATTAAGGAGTATAGGTATTAGCTCTTCTTGGAAGTTCTGGTAGAATTCTGCATTGAAATCATCTGGTCCTGGGCTTTTTATGGATGGGAGATTTTTGATAACAGTTTCTAATTCTTTGCAACTAACAGGTCTATTTAGATCATTCACCTGGTCTTGGTTTAACTTTGGTATATGGTACTTATCTAAAAAAATGTCCATTTCTTTTGCATTTTCCAGTTTTGTGGCATAAAGGCTTTTGTAGTAAGATCTAATGATTCTCTGAATTTCCTCTGTGTCTGTGGTTATGTCCCCCTTTTCATTTCTGATCTTATTTATTTGCGTGTTCTCTCTCTGTCATTTAATTAGTTTGGATAGGGGTTTGTCGATCTTGTTGATTTTCTCCAAGAACCAGCTTTTTGTTTCATTGATTCTTTGGACTGTTTTCTGTGTTTCTATTTTGTTGATTTTCGCCCTTGGTTTGATTATTTCCAGTCTTCTACTCCTCCTGGGCACGTTAGCTTCTTTTTTTTTTCTAGAGCTGTCAGGTGTGCTGTTAAGTCTCCAATGTATGCTTTCTCTGTTTTCTTTAAGTGGGCACTTAGTGCTATGAACTTTTCTCTTAGCACGGCTTTCAGTGTGTCCCATAGGTTTGAGTATGTTGTCTCTTTATTTTCATTAAAGGAAGACTTTAATTTCTTTCTTAATTTCTTCCTTGACCCAGGTGTGGTTCAGTAGTTGACTGTTCAGTTTCCATGAGTTTGTTGGCTTTCTGGGGGTAGCATCATTGTTGCCTTCTAACTTTAATCCATGGTGATCTGATAAGACAAAGGTGGACACTGATATTTTTCTGTATCTGTGGAGGTTTCCTTTGTTAGTTTGAGTATGTGGTCAATTTTCGAGAAGGTTCC